AAAAAAAAATAGGAATGTTTAGGTTCCACTTTAAATAGGATGAGTTTGAGACTGTCTGATTTTGTTTTTTTCAGCTTTGAGAATGTGTTTTGCTGATTTAAATCACTGTCTTTCTGGTCTTGATTTCAATTTCACAGATCTAAGAATTGAGCAATCCTCTCCAAGAGCCCCCTCCTTCACAGTTGAAATTAATATTAAATCTGCATCGAACAAAATGGAAAAAACCAGTCAGCATTGACCTGAAAAGAACCTGGTCATCCAAACAGGTGCAATCCCATCCACAGCAGATTTGGGCAGCAGAACTTTCTGGGTCATTCCTGATTTCCTTCAGGACCCCAGATGTAAGCCATATTGATAAGTATGGCCTGTCTGTATTTCGTCTTTGCAAGCAAGAAGTTTTTGTGGTCAGAGGAAATCTTTCCCTTGGCCTAGATTTTAAATCTGTTTCAAATAAAAATCTTTATTAAAAGAGCAACAGGCAAGTACCACAAATGTTACACAGCTTGAGCAAGTTACAATAAGAGTGAGAAAGAGTAGTGAAGCGAAAAGCCTTGACAGCTTGCAGTCAAGGAGAATGTTAAGATTATTCAGAGGGTGTCCTGGAAATGTTCGTGGCAGTTTCGGCCCTGACATCAATAAAGAAGTTACTTTTCTTTCTTTCTTTCTTTCTTTCTTTTTTAAGATTTTTTTTTAAAGATTTATTTATTTATGCATACAGAAATGGGGTACAGGCCAGAGGTGCAGGGGTGGTGAGGATTCACCACAGCCAGAGGAGGGAGTAGAACAGCTAAAATGACGAAGTACACTGCTAAGGGGAGCGGCGGGTGTGGCAGGAAAGGCCTGCTGCACCATGTGGGCCACCTCCCTGGCCAGGGATCGAACTTGTGCTGAAGCGACTGCTGCCAGCTGCATAGTGTTGTGCTTTAACCCGCCCGTTGTACCACCAGGGAGGGCCAGAAGTTACTTTTCCTATCAAAATAAGAGAACAAATGGGCTCTTCTCTAATACCAGCTGTAAAATGGGCTAATTCCAGATCCTGGCCCCAGGGAGGACTGTGACATGGGTCTGGCCAATCAGATTCCTCCATCCTACCAGACACAGTGTTTGGTTAGTTAAGGGACAGGCATGAAACTGAAGCGGGATTTATCAGTTCTTCCTGATGCTTTCACTAGACCCAATGAGAAAGTGTCACTCTCAACAGCTAACTTTGCTTTATGTGGGAAACAGTCTTTTTTAGAATACAATGAACATAGAAGAAAGTGGAATCACCATGAAGAACACAGAGTCTCAATGACATCAACTGGACCCCTCAATCCAACTTGGACTTCTTGGTTACCGAAGCCCACAGATTCCCTTCCTCGTTGATCCAGATTGAGTCACATTTAAGTCCCTCCGCACTGAGAGATGGTTATCCAAGGGTTAGACACAGAGGCAGCTGAGTCATCAGGCAAAGAGACAAGCCCTTCTTGGAAAAATAAAGCAAAACAATATTTTGCAAGGAAGCAAACCGACATGAAGCATTTTGCAGAATACAATGGAGAGATGCAGATGTTCTAAAGAACAAATCAAACATTGAGCTAGTTCAGAAGCACAGAATAAGAGTCATACACAGAGACACAAATATCCTGATAGTAGAAAACATCTCAAGGCAGAACAAAAACCTGTGAGACACACACCAACCAGCAGGCTAGAAATAATTCCAGAGTTTTCGTGGCTATACCTGGCTAAGAATTCTCTGTGGCACCGTCAAAAGGACAGACATGGTGAGTTTTGTAAGAACTACCCAGTTATGGAGAATGGTTGTGGAAAATGTTAATGCTTAAATTAAGTATTTTCTCTGGTAAATTGTAGGGAGTTTATATTTCAGGGAGTGAACTCAGTAATTTTTTACAAGTCTACTTAAATTTCATGAAGTTTCTATTTAAAATGCTCCTCCAGGCACTTTAATGAATCAGAACCTCACAGGGCTTGCCTTTTATAAGTACCTTGATCAGGTAAAATTGCTACCGTAAGGCTGATTTCTGACTACACGTGATGTATAAGTGTTCTGCACAGACATTGTCCCAAATTCTCCCTTGATGACCTGAGACAGTGGAGACACTTGAGTCTTAGTTACAAATACAGTTTCCAGGACCCAACTCTAAGCCTTTTGGACTTTGGGAGTGAGGCCAAATCTCTGTGTTTTCACGATGCTCCCCAGGATACTCTGATATAGAGCTGGATGGGAATACATGGCCTATAGCTGGAAAGGAAGGGAAAGGAAGGAAGCTAATAGCAAAAGCTGAGAATAATTAACAGCGTACTTCAGCCAAAAATAATATTAAAAAGGACACAATGGAAAAATGATTAACATGTTTGTTCAAAGTAATCTAATAGAGCAGTTGGTCTATGATAAAAATGTTCTCCTTCCCATCAACTTCCAGATTCCCTATACATTAAAAACATAGGTAAGAAAAAGGAAATACACATTAAAATTCACACCCACCTTCTGAGATAAACAATCCATGTCACTCATGTTGTGTTCTAACTGACCCTCTTAAAATGTGAACAAAGAGGACTCAGATTCTTCCTCTCCTACTAGTGGCTCTGAAGCCCACACTTCCTTATAGTATCATGGGAATGACACAGAAAATGGAACTTTCTAGAAGTTCTGAAATTTCTGTTCCCTAGGCTGCTTCTGTGAGGTCACAGACTTTAGTTATCAGGAGTTCCCTGGTAGAAGGAGAGAGAAAGGTAAGCTAGAGAATTCAGGGGTTATACTGGGCTCTGCAGGGCTTACTGCTGCTCCTCCAGTGATGTCCATGTTTCCCTTTGGCTACCTCTGGAAATTTTCCAGGAACATAGCAAGTTCTCTGTAGAGGAGAAATTGAAGCAGAGTTAGATATTAAAACAAAGAATAGGGAGGAAGCTCCGCACCAAAAAAATACCCTTGGTGGCCTGAATTCTTCTCTCTTCTCCTCCCCTGTGTCCTTGGTGGTGCTTGTCGGCAGGCCCAGGAGGCAGTAACCAGGCTTCAGCGTCTGTTGCTAAGGAAGGAGGGGCCTCTGCTGTGCCCAGATGCAAGACTGGGCTTGATTCAGCTCAGTGACCGCTGGTCTTTGCCTTTGAAGGAGCTGGTCATCAGGAAGTGTTGACAGATGGGAGGATGGGTAATGATCCAGGAATGTGGAGGTAAAGGGCAACAAGGGCAGGTGCCTTGGGGGAGGTCTAAATGCATGTAGCATGGCAGCTGAATTCTAGGGCTCTAGGGTTGGACAGCTCAGGGTTCGGCTTCTATCCTTCCTATTGATTAGCTATGACTTGTACCAGTTGTTTCACCTCTTCAAGTGCCTTCTTCAATGAATAGAAGGCAATGAATAGAAGACTACCACACAGAGAGTAGGTATGAATGTTTAAAGAGATAATGTCTTAAAAGAGATATTCGCACTTAGGACAAGGATGGCAACTGATCCCAGTTTGTTTGGGACCTTCTGGATTTTAATCCTGTTAAATCCTGCATCCTGGGAAACCCCTCAGTTCTGGGTAAATTGGCTTTACCAGTTTACTAATATAGAAGTCAGTCTATATATGTTGTGACTAAAACCATTCTTATAATAAATATAGACACACACACATATATTCTCATATACAAATTAATATGCCAGTGCCCAACATTCAAAACATGGGTCACATAGTTTTTGCATTAGATTTTCCTCAAAACTAAATGATGTTCCCATCTGAGGGAAGAGGAAATTGAAGCAGAGACACATAACTTTCCCAAGTTGACATAATTCATGAGTGGAGCTGGTGCAACTTAAGCCCTGTCTTTATGCCTCGAGTCCAGTGCTTTCCCCATGGACCTGTCCAAAGCACAGACATTTCTGAGGTCCTCCCACAAACACTCATATCCTCACATGTTCTGCCACTTCTTTGTTCTTCTTCCTCAAAGTTGGACTCTCCATACTTTCAAAACAACCCTTAGACTCTTCATTATCCTATTTTTCTTTCTACCATAAGGGACATAGACAGTTTGCAGAAGTGTTTGCAATCAAGAAGCCAGTTGCAGAGTTTGAGACCTTAGCTAGAAATGGGTTTTTACAAGGCCTCCTATTATGGGCATGAAATCCTACATGCCACAAAACCAACACATGAAAAACTAGAAAGGGCCAGGCATGGGGCTCATGAACTTCATATCCGTAGGGTGAGTAGGAGCTATGTTGCCGTCTGAAATGCATGTGCTCTATGTTCAAGAACATCAAAGCAGTAATAAGACCTTCCATTTACTAAGCTATTCTTGCTGCTGGCACTAATGAACAAAATCTCTCAACAATACGGAGGATAAATGTCATGATTAGCCCAATGGCTGAGGAAATAGAGACACAGAGAGGTTCAGTAACCTGCCTAGAGTCACTCAGCTGAATCAGTGGCAAAGATTCAAAGTGCTTGTATCTATCTCACTCCATTTTATAGATGAAGCCAAAGTTCAGAGGTAATGCATCCAAGGTCACACTTGAACCCAGAGCCCAGGACTGTTGGCTCCCAGGCCATGGTTTTTACCAGTCTGCTTTATGGCAGTGGGTCTCAACAGGGAGGGCTATGATCCCCAAGGACATATGACAACGTTTGAGGATATTTTTGTTGGTCACTACCCAGGGGAAGAAGAGAATTAGTAGGTTAAGGCCAAGGACATTGCTAAATATCCTATAATTCATTATGGAATCTTGCTCCAAGGCTTTGACCAAATGCCTACTTCTGACCTGAAGACAGAAAATAAAGTATCTGCCAAAACAGAAGGAAATCCTCTTCCCCCTCACCCTCCCACCCCAGGCAGCCTCATATACACCAGCATCATCTGACTTAACTTTCTGTTGGATAATTCCCAAGCCAGGATGTAGGTCCCACGTCCCTCAAACCCCACCCCTACAACTCCTAATATATAGATTTGCTAGATAAAACACAGGATACCCAGTTAAGTTAAAAATTTTGGGATGTGTTCCAAAAAATAATTGAGATATATTTATACTTAAAAAGTATCCATTGTGGCCCTCCCTGGTGGCGCAGTGGGTTAAAGCACAGCACTGAGAATCTGAAGCCACTTCCACATGAGTTCGATTCCCGCCTGCCGCCTGCCCCGGAGGAGACCTCATGGCGAGCCAGACATCTCCTGACCCGCCCGCTGCCCCCCTCAGCAGTGTACTTCGTCGATCTGCCTGTTCTGCTCCCCACTCTGTCTCTGGTGAAGCCTCTCACCGCCCCTGAGCCTCTGGCCTGTACCCCAGTTCTGTATGCACAAATAAATAAATAAATCTTTTTAAAAAAAAAGTATCCATTGCACACTTGAAACTCAAGTTGAATTGGGGGTTCTCTATTTTTATTGGCTAAATCTGGCAACGTGGGGAGAAGAGGTCAGCGAAGTTCTAGGCAGTTCCCATTTTCTGTGGCATTAACAGCCTCCAGTATCAAATCTAGAGTCCAGAAATTTTCACACATTTCTTATTCAGAGCCTAGTGATCCTGGCTGGTCTTTTCTAAGGCCTGAAATACTTGCTGATTCAGAATAACCGTGGGAAGATATAGAAGAATTTGCAAATGGATTTCTTTTATTGATCTATCATCAATGGCCAGTAATAGCCAAGTCCTCCTGATGTTAGGGTCCCAGGCATCAGGGAATACAAAGTGTGGAGACAGCAGCCAACAAACCAGAAAAAGCAAAACCTGGTTCACTTTGCAAAAATGCCTGAGATGGGAGGACCTGGAGAAGGCCTCAGAAGCGCCCCTAGATGGCACCCTTGAACAAAAAGCTCAGTGGCAGCCTCAATTCGGTTTTCCAAAGCATCCCAATATTTTGCTCTCTAAGGAAAGAAACAAGAATCAGCATCCAGCATTCTGCAGCCGAACAAAGTGCAGGAAGCTAGATAAAATTACTTGAACTTAAGAATTTAAGGCCATTTAATAGTTCATGCTTCCAGTCTCCATCAGCCATCTAACCCTTGGAGTTTAAGAAGATATTATTGTTATTATTATTATTATTTTAAGCAAGATCACTTTATTATTATTATCTCCAAGTTTCTCTATCCACCACCCCCAATAATTTAAAATTTTGAGTATTATTATTATTATTACCCTCAAGTTTCTCTTTCCAGCACCCTGATAATTTTAGAAATTAGTTTTAGAAATTTGAGTTCGTCGAGGTAACACCATGGAATATTTTGAATCCCTAACATGTTCCAGCTAGATTCTAAGCTGTACTAGTCTTCACTACAAACCTCTGCTTGCTTTCCAGCTCCCTATGGACAAAGGTCACAGAGAAGAGGTGGGTCGACTCTCCCCAGGATGAAAAATGCCTGGTAACTAGTATAGCTGCAGATAACCGTCCTCCCCCCGTTTTACCGCTGAAGCCAAGGCTCAGAGGTAGTTCACCTAGGTGACCCCTAAAACCAGAGCCCAGGACTGCTGGGCCCCAGGCCCTCTCCTTACCACTCTGGGGATGGCCGTGACCCTCCGGAACGGCTGACACTGTTCGGGGATGTCTATGGTGGTGACAGCAGGAGGGGAGGAGCACTGGCAGGTGGAGGCCAGGGTGCTGCTAAGTATCCCACAATGCACTGGCAGCCCCCACATCAGGCAGGGCCCGCCCAAAACGTCCTTAGCGCTGCCCCTGAGGAACCCTTCTCTCTTTGCCCTGATTTGGCGTTGAGGGGTTCGGGTTCAGTCATCACCTCGTCTCGCCAGCACGAGTTTTCCGTCGGTATGGATTCTTAGTAGTGTCTTTGAGCAGTAAAGGTCAAAGCCTTCCACGAAAGGCCATACCTCATCACTGTGCCCTGCGCTGCAGGGCGCCTTCCGAAGAGCTGGTTCAGCGTATTTAGGCCGGGAGCCCCAAGACCCCCGGAAAGGACATTAGCAGCTGCCAACCCACCTGGCTCCGAGGTGGCAGGCGCATTCTTACTTCACGCCCAGAAACTAGGAGGGCAGCTCTCTCTGAGCTTTGGTTTCCTCATCTGTAAACGTCTTTGTCGTGTGTGGGTGGCGCCAAAAGACTGAGGGAAAGAGCGCGCCTTGGCGCGACGCTCGCGGTGGACTGAGGGAGTCCGGAGCGGAGGCCCGGGCCGAGGGGCGGCGCTTCAGGGAAGACCTCGCGACTTCGGGGCGGGGCTGAGGGGCGGGCCTCGCAACGAAGGGGCGGGGTTTGGGGCGGGCCTCGCGGCCGAGGGGCGGTGCTTCAGGGAAAGCCTCGCGACTTCAGGGAGGGGCTGAGGGGCGGGCCTCGCAACGAAGGGGCAGGGTTTGGGGGCGGGACCTCCGGCCGGGGGGCGGTGCTTCAGGGAAGGCCTCGAGGCTTCAGGGAGGGGCTGAGGGGCGGGCCTCGCGGCCGAGGGGCGGGGCTTCAGGGAGGATCCCGCAACCTGGGGGCGGGATCTAGGGGCAGGGCCAATGTCAGGGGCGGGGTCTAGGCGGGCGGAGCGAGGCTGAAGTTGTTGGTGGCGCTTAGCAGAAGAGGCAGATTCTGTTGGGGCCCTGGCCGCGGGTCGCCTCCTCCTATACTTCCCCTCCCTCTGCAGGCTAATGCCGGGGCAGCTCGGCCGCCGGGACCAGGTGAGAGCCCGCTGTGTGGACGCGCTGGTACTCGGTACCCAGGTCCGCAAGACCCCCTCGCGGGGCGAGGCAAACAGGAAATCCGGGGCGGCGGGTTGATGGGTGGATCGGGGTTCCACGCCTGTAGACCTCAGACCGCGGTTTAGTAGTGAGGGGAGTCCTCCCTCAGAGTCCCTGGGGCCCGTACACCACACACAGCTACTCCTAGTTTTGGCAAAAGATTTGCCAGTCTCACTTCAGGGACCCTGCTCTTCCTTGGGAAACCCGGCTGGGGAGTCTCTTAAACCCCTCTCCAGGAATAATGAAGAGTAGTACCTCCTTCCAACGGGGGGCCTTCTCCACCGAGAACCCCCGCCCCCGTCACTGCGGAGACTCCAAGTACCAAAGGTGGATTTTTCTCTCCTAATTAACAACTGGATACTCAACTCCCCCGTAAACTTCCATAGCTCTATTTCGATGCCCTCTGGGTGGGGAGCCCCCTCTTCACCAGCATCACTCTGACTCTCGCCTCGGGACCCCGGACTGGGCTCCCGCACCCCCACGATGTCCTCAAAGCCTGAAAGTCTGGAACCGGAGGCGGAAGAGGTGTGTGTGCCTGGGAGAAAGGCCCAAGGCGCCTCGATGTCCCCATCCACTAACCGAGATGCTACCCCTGCCACTCCCAGCTAGAATGTTCCGGTAGCCGTTTGCCCGGAAGTTTTGGGGAGCTTGGAAAGGTAGGGGCCAAGTAGTTGTTAGCTTCTGGCGTGGAGAAAGCAGGGACTTGTGGGCTGCGCGGGGTTAATGGGACTTCTTAATGCCCGGGGAAGCCCCTCCCAGGAGAGAGTGTCCGAGACGTGGGGACTGTCCACTGTAACAGAATCTTCTAGGCATTTGTACTGTATAAGTCAGGAGATCAAACTGCAAGGGAGGAAATAGCTTTCTGTCTAGTTCTACAGTTGTTCAGGGAAACATAAAATAAGAAAGGTGTGTTTGTTTACATGAAATCCAAGAAGGGCTAAGTAGATACCTAATTTAACAAATTGCCTTGATGACTAGGATCAGTGGCATTCTTCCCACGCATGCCCAGGTCAAACTCCCCAAACCAGTCCTGGTGGGTGCCCTTGAGTTTCCCAGGCCCCAGAACACCTGTAGGGGGAGCTAGGCTTGTTTCTGCCTGCTGCAGAGATGAGTGCTGGGAACATAACAAATTCAGGTTCAATGCCAAGTGCAACTTCAAAGACAAAATATGCAGGTGTAGAAGTTAACTGCTCCTGTCCAAGGGGTTCCTGTTTTTTTAAGAGGGGGATTTCAGTAGAAGACCTTTACCTAGGGTGATAAAAATGTGCTTTAATTTGCATGCTAGACCTGTACTTATCAGTTCATTTCCAGTAACTCACATCTACTTGTGGGATATTCAACATGATAAATAAATGCGAGGCACTCTTTTATTTTTGTCCACTGTGACAGAATCGTTTAGGCATTTGTAGTATATAGGTCAGGAGATCATTTGCAAGGGAATGACTCTTCTGTCAAGCCTTGCAGTTGTTCTGGGAAATATAAGAAAAATGTGTTTGTTTATATAAAAATCCAAGAAGGGCTAAATAGATACCTAATTTAACAAATTGCTTTGATTAAAGATAATTATGGGAGGTTGGAACAGTCTTGGAAATTCCCTGAGGCTTCTCTCTTGTTAGGGGAAAGAGACTTACACAAGTAGATAAAAAGTGATTTATGGGAAAATGTAATTGGAAGCCAACCTGTTTCATGGGTAGTAAACAAAGAAACAGGCCAAGGTTTCTGTTATTTGAGAAAGGCTTTCTTGGGGGGGTGGGGGGGCAGTGGGACTTGAAATAGTGTATTCAGCTTTTTAGCTTTCTTATATATTCTTTTAGTACTTAAGGCTAAAAACCAAACATCAGCTTGCTGAGATAATATCATTAACATTTTGTTATATGGCCTTCTAGCTTTTATACTGTGAGGTAAATACCTAAACATAAAGATACATATTTGATGTATTTACTATAGTTATATTATCATTTTCTGGAGTATTTTGTAATTTTTTTCACTTATCATAGACATTTTCATATCCCTAAAAAATAACCACATTACTGAGATGAAAAAATGCACAAAAAGAAGAATGCTGAAAAAAAAAAAAATAACCACATTATTGTTTTAATGACTGTACAATAACCAGTTTCCTACTACCAGAGTTAGTGTCTTTCCAGTATTTTTACTATTCTATATGATAAACAGTAATATGATACTCATCCTTTTGACATTTTAACATTCCTGTTTATTTCCTTCCTATTTCTAGAAAATAAATTGTTGAGTCAAGGTATGTACAAATTGAAATTTTGATAGTTATTGCCATCTGCCCTTCATCTGCACTCCCATGCTCTGTGTATGTGAGTAGTGGAAGCTCCTGTTGAACTAGCTGGTGAACACCATTAGTGGCTTAAGATATTTTTGTTTCCTCCAATGACAGCAAGAGACCTGATGACATGAAAGATTCCAGTGTGTCCTACAGTGGAGAGAATATTGATAGAAGAAGTAATCCCTAAAGAGACTGAAAATAGCTTTCAGGATGGGGAAAGAGGAGCCCCCAAGCACCTCAAAGGAGTTTCAAGAGCTGCAGAGGAAGTTGTCCTTGCTGGTGGAGTTCATCCAGAGTAACTCAAAGGTCAGTTTCCAATCATTATGTATAGCAGAAAATTACAAAATGACTGGTTTAAATGGTCCAGAAAGTTAGGCCTCTCTCAAGTAGAGTAAGTTGGGCGGTAGTTTGAGAATCTTTCTGACTCACCACCCTGCTATGTCCAAATCATGACCTTTGGGCACACTGTCCAAGGTGGCTTCTAGAGCATCAACCATCACACCATAGTCCAGGCAATGGGATGGAGGAGAGAGAGAAGACAGATTTACCGATTACCTCGAAGTCATGGAGACAAATTCCTGGAGACTCTTTGCATGACATCTCTATGTGTCAAGCACCTTGCCAGGCATTTGGTGTATCTTATTTAATATTCACATCCACTGTCTGAGGTGGAAGCATTTCTAAGCATATGAGTCTGGCTTCTTGGCATTTCTTCACTTCTGAGAATCTTAGCTGTGTTCCCTAGGATAGCTTTGGCCTACATGACTTCTAGGCCAGCCAACTCCCATAGCGATGGGGCATATTATTAGTTGGCAATGACCTGATCTTCACATTATCTTGAGGTAGAATGGTCCTTTTAAGTATTTTGTATTATATTATTTGGATGAAGTAATTGCATTAGAAGCTCAATAGAGTGATATTATAGGAAAAAAGAAAGCAAATCTCTGGACACCCACCACTAACAAATCCAGTGGTGGTCGTGATGGTGATGGTGATGATGTTGATGATACATAATTTTTATATGTAGTAGCTATAATCACTGCAGATGATGTTCTCTTTATTTTAGCTTGATATTATAGATTGATGTTTCTCCTTATGAAGCACCGTAGAACCTTCTAGCAGATTGCCTTGTTTTAATTCATATAGCCTTCCTCTGTTTCTGGGCTATTTCAATGATTTCTCCCCCACCCTCCCACTTCTGGGATTTTTTATTTCTCCTCAGATGTTAATAAACCCTTTGAATTCCAGATAAGAACAGATGGGCTTCAGGTGTGTCAAACAAGCCCATCATCTCTTCTCAGAACTTTTGGAAATGCTTTATCAGATCTTAACTGTCTTACTTTTAAACTCAGAGAGTCAGAAACCTGCTCATAATAGTTTCAGCCAACAAACACAAATAGTAGGACCTGCCAGGACTCAGGAGACAGGAGGCCATCTTTGAGGCCAAGGGCAGGAGGCAAAGTGGGGCAAAGCTTCCGGTGGGAACAGAGCCTGGGTCTGCAGGTCGATGGGCTCAGAGGTGACGCTCAGCGTTTCCTGTTGTGGCCCAGGTTCCACTCGTCATAGCTTTTTCTGGTGTATCTATGTCACTCCCTGCTCTCTGAGCCTGACTCCTTTGGCGCTTCCATTCACATGGACATGACTTCCCAGCTCTCACTGTCAGTTTCCCATGGCTCTCTCCACTCCCAGCTGAAGCCCACTGAAGGGTCTAGCCTGGGAGTGCCAGTTCCTAGGGACAGAAGTCCGCTTGACCTGCTCACCTGTGGCTGAGGAGCTGGTAGGTGGGCTGGGGCTTTCAGGGTGTATCATAGCTCTCTGAGAGGGTGCCCCTTGCAGAGAAGAGGAGGAGAGGTGAAGCCTGGGCTGGGCAGATGCTTTCCCTTCCCATGTCAGCTCCTTATCTGGATTACCTGTGGCAAAATACTTTTGTTCATGCTAGACCTTTCCTCCCATAAAGGATGTTTTTGAACCAGTTCCCCAGCCCCTATGAATCACATTCATGGGGTGCATAGTACCAACTCTGAGTCACATTCATCTGATGCACCCATGCATCGTAATAGTGGAGGAACCTTGACACAGCATCTTTGATTCTTTGATGTGTGCTGATAGGATTCACCTCCCCTTGGTGTCAAAGGACCCTCATTATCTCTTGCTTTCTGACAGCCGGAATTAGCCTGGCTCCTGAGTAGTTCCAGATAGTGCCTTCATGTCCTTAAAGACTGACCTGAGGTGCTCTTCCAGAAGGTCTGACCACAGAGCCCTGCACAGCAGGAGTCAGGCTCTTCTAGCCTGCTGACCCTCACTTCTTTACTGCAGCACCAGAAAGTCTAGGTGGGACAACCTGAGCCCACTTCCTGGCTGGGGATGACAAAGCTCAGTGTACATTACTGCAGTTACTGCATAGTAAACTCCCCACTCTCCTGTCTTCCCTGTTGCCTTGAGAATGAAAAGTTAATTGCTGTGTTCTGTTCCCCTAGATTTACATAATGATAAGTTGTTCCTCCTAGCATTGCAAGGGAATTCAATGAAAGCACTTGAGAGAGTGGTTGGCACCTGAACATATAATGAATGTCCTCTATTCTGAGGCCTAGCTGAATCCTGTCCTCCCTTTCTGTGGTTGACTGGCCCCTGCAGGGTCTTTATGCCCTTCCTGGGGAAAATTAATTGCTAGGGTTCACACTGTGCCTCTTAAAATGGTCTCTGCATATCTGAATGACTTTTTCTTTCATCTTTCTTTTTTTTATTTGGCTGTGTGGCTCAGACCCAAGAAGCCAAGAGCGAGTAGATTCCTTCAGGACTGGAAATTGAACCATCTGGCTTTTTTCCTCATGCCAAATTCTCCAGTGCTGTTGATTTTTCTCCATCAGTCTGAAGTTGACTGTCAGTGTCTCTTGCCTGTCTTCCTGCAAATCTTCCAACTATGACTGCCAGCTTCACCTTTCTTAGATTATTCCTTTAAATGCCCCAGTTTGCTCTCTGAGTGGTACATTTTTTCCTGGATAAGGTTTTGGGTTTTTTTTTAAGATTTTTTTTTATGCACATAGAACTGGGGTACAGGCCAGAGGCGCAGGGGTGGTAAGAGGATTCACCAGAGACAGAGAGGAGCAAAACAGCCAGATGGACTGAAATATACTGCTGAGGGGAGCAGTGGGCGAGACAGGAGAGGTCTGCTGTGCCATGTGGGTCAGCTCCCTGGCTGGGGGGCTGTCATGGCTGCAGACCACCTCATCGTGCTGCACTTAACCTATTGTGCCACCAGGGAGGGCCCATTCGTGGATAAGGTTTAAATGAACACTTTAATGAAAGTATGTGAGCCTCATAAAATTAAAATTTTCTCATAGTCACATTTAAAGACATGTAAAAAGGTAAAATTAATTTTGATATATTTTATATAACCCAGTACCTACAAAACAATATAATTTCAACATGTAGTTATATAAAAAGTCACTGATGAGATATTTTGCATTTTTTAATATACTTAGTATACATTCTAATTCAGATATTTGTTTCTATTGGAAATCTACATCTCTGTTCAAATTTCATAAAGTTCACAGTGAAAAAATTAATTTATTTGAAACATAGTCGATTTGTTTGAAATGTAGTTAAAAATCCCCAGTGACTGAATCAGAAATCAGTAGTTACTCACTTACTTATTTTCATTTTTCTATCTTTGTATAACCATAATTTTACTTTGTCTACAAAATGGTCATCTTAAAAAAAGTACTAAAAAGTTAAGTGTAGTCACTGTCTCATAACTTCTAAGATGTTGTGAAACATCTTAGATCAAGTCCCATGGAATAACATCTATGTAAAAAAGACATTTTAGAGTCTACAAGTCAAACATTCTTCCCAGTTTCCTTTATTTTCCTAAAGAAGGGACATGACAATGGTTAAGAAGCATGGTTTCTAACCAGCTGTATAACCCTGGACAAGTTATGTGGTTGGTTGTTTTTCTTTTTTCTTTTGTTGAAGTAACAATGCATTGTATCATCATATAATTTTTAAATGTGCATCATTACAAATATTTGAATATAGACTACATTAAATTCACCACTAAATGTCCAGTTTTATCCTTCACCATACAATTTACTCCTGTACCCGATTGACCACCCCCCAATCCCTCCCCTCTGGTAACCACTTAATTGACTTCATAGTTCATTTCTTTGTTCAAATAAATACCAGTTTTTTAGTTAAATGAAAAATGAGTCACAGTCACCACCATTCCAGTGCTCAGTGGCCACATGTGGCTTCACTGCTGGGGAGCCCTGTGAAAAGCCATTAGCCTGGCAACCTCATGGCTCCTCCACTGAGAATTCTGAGTCTCTCGATTGTGGGGGCCTGAGAGAACAGTTCAGTCTGACAGGTGCCTCCTGGGGCATTTAAGAATTCAGTGGACTGGAGCCAGAAGCTGTCAAGATCCATGACAGGTAGGGGGTTCCATTCCTGGAGTCTCTACCCCTGTAGTAGCTCCTCTGCTCCCCTCTCACCTAACAGTAGCATCTCACCAGGCTGAGACACCAGGCTGTCCCTGATGGCTCCCTGCCCAGGGTCTTTCCTGAACAATCACCTCTGGATAAAGAAGCTGAATAACCTCCTCTTTGGGAGCTTGTCTTAGGAAGGAGTAGCTGGGAACACTGCGGCCAGCCAGCATTGCACGTTTTGTGGCCTGGCTGTGAGACCTGTCCTGCCTCAGAGTTCTCAGGAGGCAGTGCCGCAGCCCCAGAAAGAAGGCTGCAGATCTGTGGAGTGGCCTTTCCAACTTAGCCCCAAATGCCCACCATTAAAAAAAATTTTTTTTAACTGACATAACATTGTAAATCCCCACCGTTGGGATCACATGGCTGAACAACTGTTTCTAGAAGACAAGTCTGTTCCAGTTAGTCTGTGATCAAGGTACCTTGAATTAATCTTCCATTTCAACTTCTGGCCTACAAGACCCTAAGGAATGAGACACAGAAAGGACTAGTGTAAATGGGGTGAAGTTCTGGAAAGGGTGGAAATTTTCAAGGGCCAGTTCCTGAAGAGAAAGATAACATGGGGCCTACCAGGTGGGGCTGCCTAGGTTCAGCTCCCCGTTAAGGCAGTCCTCCTCTTGAAGCATGTGCAAATATGGAGATGGAGGTTGTACCCCCCCCCCAAATTAGGCAGTTATGTAAATGACAGAACCATAGAAAAAGGCAGCCCTCCTCTGAGCCAGATCCAAAAATCCCTTTTGCCTGGTAAGAGATGACTTATTAACACAACATACTCTTGCAATAGTCAAGAGACTGTGGCCTGAGTGTAGAGCTGGGCTGATGACATCAAATAAAGTTTTTTTCTAATGAGGTGGTGGCTGTTGCAACCATCCATTCAGAGTGAAGAGCCCAACTTTGAGTGCCTGGATGTTGCCACTTAGAAGCTGTGTGACTCCAGTCAAGATATTTAGTCAGCTCTTTCTCAAATGTTGTGTACACGTCACTTGGAGGTGTTGTTAACAAGCAGAATCTGATTCAGCAGCCTGAGAGTCCACCTTTAAGACAAACTCCCAGGTGGCGGGCAGGTCCAGGGCTTTACCTCTCTGTGCCTCAGTCACCTCAGCTGTGGGGACAACAGCTGTGACATTAGGGGTGCATAGTCTGCACATCATCCCTGTGCACACAGCAGTCTGAAGCTGCTGTTGGGTGACTTGTCTTGGGAGGATTATGGGGTTGACTGCAGGGGACCCGCCTTGCTGGGATGTCCTGCTCAAGTGGCTCCTCAGTGGGATGAGATGTGGCTTCAGTCTGGCTCTTTGTCCTTTGCCTGCAGGTGAACGCCTTTATGAAGTCTCCAGTGGGTCAGTACCTGGACCGGCATCCTTTGCTGACCCTATCTCTGCTGGTGTTTCTTGCTGTGACGGCTGTTCCTGTCGGATTCTTCCTGTTCCTCACATTGCTTGCCTCCCTGGCTGCTTTGGTGGGAGTCATTTTACTAGAAGGTACCAGCTCAGTCATCCACTCCTGGAAATGCCTCAGTTGGGAGGACAGTGTTTATCGAGCATCTGCCACTCCCATCAGAGCTTCCTGTTCTTGTCAGTCACAGCAACCAGGCAACTTATCAGAGTAGTTAAAACATGGGCTCTGGTGTCTACATCAGGGTTCTACTCCCACCAGTGCCACTTTGGACAAGTTGTCCTCTCTTGGAGCCTCAAAATCCTCATGTATAGACAGGGCTATAAGCCTGTCTCAAAGGGTAGTTGCAGGGATTGGCACCTACAATTCCAGACAGAGCTCGGCACCATCTATGGCACAAAATAACGTCTCCACAGATGCTCACTACTGCCATTAAATGGGGAGTCCCTTTATTCCACTGCTATTATTGGGCACCTGCGAACAACAGGGTACCCAAGTCCCACTGCCCACCATCACATCCCCCTGCGTTGCTAAGTTAAAATGACTGAGAAAGAAAATCTGATTGGCTCAGTTGGCCTTTTCAAATATGATCACAAATCACAAGCTACCATAAGCCAAAGAGATGGTTATCATTGGCCTGGGGGTCCATTCTGGCTTGTTCTTTGGCTCCCCAAAACAAAGGGCCCCAGGGTGGATTTTCTGCCCCAGGGACTGTGGATAAGGTATTTTATGCTTGGAGGAGAAGTTGGGAACGGGGATGCCAGAGCCAAGTGCAGTCTGGCAGTGTTGGTCTAGTAAATATCGACAGGTAGATGGCAAACAAAGGAGTACTACCACGGAGGTAAACTTAGGGAGAAGACGAGGGCCCCCACGTTGTGGTGGGGTCATGCAAAGGAAGAACTGTGTAGAGAGGATAACAGCCTGGGCCCAGTGTTTAGAGCAGTGGGTCTTGAACTTAGGTGTGCCTAAGTGTTACTTGCCTTTTTGAAAATGCAGACTCCCAGGCCTCGTCCAGAAGTTGTTGTTTAGAAAGTCTAGAGTGGGGCCAGACTTTTTGTCTGAATTTTCAACAGACCTCGCCGATGCGTCTGGTTCTGGTAGAAGGGTGGTTGGCCAGGCTTTGAAAACCACAGGTCTAGGAATGGAAAAATCCCCCTGAAGGAATTTAAAAATCAACCACATCTGGTTATGTTCTCTGTTTTTCTCCTTTTTTCAGGGCCCACCCCTGAAACTCTCCCTGTGCCCTGGGGGTGAGCACTGGGCTATTTTTCCATTCCTGGGCCAAGGGGAAGGCTGTGTGCCTGCAGCATTTACTGCCTTATCAGCTCTGTGTTGAAGAGGGATTTTGTAATGAGGAAGGCAGGGGACATGCTGAGCAGACATGTCATGTCAGCACTTAGAGGCCACTATTTACCCTGTCTATAGGTGACTTAAACTAGAACTCCAAGAGGCCCAGGCCACACAGCAAGTGACTTAACCAGGATCAGGTTCTGGCACGATGTCATGAGTCCACATGCTCTCCGTTGTGCCTTTTGCTCTTCCTTCCTTTCCCCTTGGGCCTCACATCATTAAAACTGTAGTGGTAATTTATTGGATGGTATTTCATTAATATTCCTGTTAAAATGCTTTAAATGTGGGTAAAACGGCCAAGCAGACGTGATGATCAGTGTGTGATGACCACTAATATCTAACTGGTCAGCTAGTACTGGCCTGCCTGGTAAAGGAGGGAATCAGAAGCCACATTTAGATTCCACTTCACTCAGCCCACTTTGCCTTTATACAGACAGGACATACAGGTGGTGGCTAAGTGGAAATTAGCGACTCATTAGAGGTCATTTACCTCCCCTCCTGCCTCCCCTCCCCCCACTGTCTTGATTAACTCCTAGAACATTCCACTGGGAGCCCATCCCCAACCTTGAAGATGAGAAGGAGCCTCAAATTCAAACTCCATGGGCACCACCAGTGCCCATGATGGTGCAGGCAGTGGGGGCGAGGAGGCTGCAGGGATGCCCCATTAGAGCAGCTGTTTTTTAAGTGATGCTGGAAATCTGGACTTGGGTGGGAAATCTCTAAAAAACAAAAATCTTCCATTCTAAACACGGTGAGCCGGGTCTGGCACTTTCAGCCTGTTTCAGAGGAATGCTTCTCACCTTGCTTCCCCCAGGACTGGTCATCTCCATGGGCGGCTTCTCGCTGTTTTGTATCCTTTGTGGCTTGGGCTTCATGTCACTCGCCATGTTGGGGACAATCCTAGTGCCCTGTGTGGTGGTTTCCAGCCTCCTCAACTACTGGTTTTCTCCCAGGTGAGTATAGCTCTGTAGCTCCCCAGCCCTGAGTCAGTAATGGGGGGTGGGGGGTGCTTAGCATTGTAAAAGGCAGGGGGTTCTCGTGATGGCAGACATGCAGTGGGAATTAAAAGGAGCTTTAAAGCTCCCAGCCCTCATGGGCATGGGGGTTGCACTTCAGCCTCACCGGGAAGACCCCTGTGGAAGCTCTGTACCCAAGGCCTAGCTGGTTTGGTGTCTGGAATGACGCACCTGCACTTTCAACAAGTCTGTTACCATAAATGGTTTTGTAACTTCATGCATTGATCATTGAAACAATACTGGTTCTCTGAGTGGCACGAATCTTCCATTAGAATTAGAAGATAGGAGTCAGGCTGAGTCCCAGCCCTGACATCCTTCAGTTGCGTGACCTTGAACCCACTGCCCTGCCTGTTTTCTTTCACTGGTAACCTAGGCTGCTCCTGTGCTAGTCTGTTCAAAAGATGTTGCAAGGAAAATGCAAGATACCAGCTAGAAGAGAGGCCATAATCCCTGCCCCTAATTCTATCATTTTAACCTCTTACTGATTTGCATGTCTGTAAGACTGGGTATATCCCCAAATCTGGTGTGATCACAGAGTGACTAGGAATAAACCCACAAAGAGCATCACACGTCAGCTCTATACTCTGTCAATGCTGTTGTCTAAGGAGGCCCACGAGCTAACCATGTGCTCTTATCACCAAACAGACCCCTGACACAAGAGATCGCCAGTGAGGACAGCCAGCTAGCTGTGAAGACAGTGGACTGAGGGGGGCTCTTCCAGGAGTGACCACTGCAGGGAAGTACGCGGGCCCCAAGCACCTCGGGAGTCTGTGGGGTAGACAGCAGGTCTGGGTCATCACACCCCCTGGGAGGCACCTCCAGCTTCTTCACTGCCCCAAATTCCTTGAGTGCTCAACTCGGGGACCTTGTTGACAACTGGTCTTCATGGTTCTGTCAGCTGACCCACCCTCACTTAAAATCAGCAGAAAACGCAGATGGTTCAACAGCAATCTTGCCCTCCCACCCTCCCGACCATGGTGCACTTGACCTAGGCTGATCTCAAATCTCTAGAGCCTGACGGCTTAACCCAAAGGTTCCCATCTGTTTCCAGAGTTCCATTTCGGGCAGTATTGAGTTGTTTCTCCTTTTCATTTTTTAAAGCAATGAGGAAAAACTTTATTTCTTTACTCTTTTGAAACAAGAGGTGGCAGGGTGGGGGATCATTCAAAAAAGAACAAACTCTTCTGCCTTACTAGCAACATTTGGGACATTGGAAAATTAAAGAGTCCAAACTTAATTTTAATGGCCAAAAGCATTTTTGAAAAGGTCTGAAAGTCTAATTTCCACTGTTGAGTAGTTAACTCTTTTGAATATTGATACTTTTGTATTATTTTAAAGTACTTGTGAAACACTTAGGTTCTATAACATTTTTAAAAAATCTTATGGGATTTCTACTTCAGTGGTTTATACTGTGTGGTATTTTATTAAATAAATATTTATTCAGATGAGCTCTTTTTTTTTATTCTTCATACCTTGACTTTCGACCTGAGACCTGCTTTTATCTTTTCTGCAACTTCATGACAGATCCTGGGTAATGCGGCATTTCCAGTTCTTCGTGATAGACACTCAACTCAAAGTGGTTTTAGGAAGTGGGGGGCAGGTGAGGGAAGGTTCACTTCACTCAACTAGAAAGCCAAGTGTAGGCAGATTTTGGGCACCGCTGAATTCCAGGGGCCCGAATGTTATTAGGCTTCTCTCTCAGCACCGTTCTCTGTGAGCTGTTTTTTCAGGCAGGCAGCCCATGCGGTGGTCCCGGGAACTCTGGCGTCACCTCAGCTTGGAGTTCGCACTTCCAGTGAGGAAGCCGCTGTTTCCCAGTGGTGCACGCAAATAGACTAGCTTTGGCTCTGATTGGACAGAATGGGGTCATGTGAGAAGCCGCAGACCAATCACAGTGGCGAGGGAGCAGGAACACCGGAAATGCTGGACTAAGGGCAGGTCTGGGTCGCTTCTGGTTTCTGGAGCTATGGGAAGAGGTAGATCAACCTTGTTGGTCCTACATATCTAGGGTACAGTGAGAGTAGGAAGACCCCCCCACCCCAAGAGAATATTAGACGAAAAGGAAATACTAGCAGAGAAAAAACAAGTGCCTGGGATTAGCCACAGTAGGGCATAAAATTGGGTAGCGAAACACGACTGCATCCCATGACATGAAAGGTGAGTCACCCCATCAGAGAATAAGAACTATGTTCCTCTCAGTCTTACGGGACATTAACAGTAACGGTTCCTGTAACTGAGTGTTTTTTTCCTTCATGCCAAGTAGCTGCTATTTTTTGTGAGCAATCCACATGTCTTCTATGCCATTTACACAGATGGGTTCTGAGTCTTCCATGGTCAAGAATGAAAAGGTCCCTGGCCTCCTACTCACTTTCTAACATAAGAATCACTTAACACATGTACTTGTTATCTGTTGCTGTATAACAGTTTACTACAAACTCTGTACTGCTAAGGAACACATTTATTATCTCACAGTTTGGTGACAGGCGTGTTAGGGGTCCAGGCACGACGAAGCTGGGTCCTTGACAAGACTGCAGTGACAGCACAGGTGTTCTCACCTGAGGCTCAGCTGGAGGAGGCCCCGCATCCAAGCCTGCATGGCCACTGGTACACCCTGCTTTCTTGAAGACTTGCAGCCCCTCGCTGCGTGTCGGGTGGCCCTGGAGCTCACACTATCCCAGCTTGCTTCTTCAAAGCCACCAAGGAAGAGTCCTGGCCAAAGGACAGCACGTTCTTACAACTGCAGTCACATAGGTGTGATCACCCAGGGCCGGTCACGATGACGTGTGCTGTGGGTGGGAATCAGGCATGGGTCTCACCACACTGGACAGGAGGGGAACACACCAGGGCAGGCATAAGACAGGTGGGGATCCTGGCTCCACCTTAGACTGCCTGCTGGAATTGCTGGAATGAATAAACACAGACTGCGCTTCACGGATACTGCAGGGTTTTACAAGTTCTCCCACCAGCAAAAAGATGGTGACTTGCTGATGGCTCAGATACTTCATTAGCATTTTTAGTGGTCAGGAGATGAAGGCGAACGATCATAAAAGTGCTGCTATTCCCCTCCATTTTTTTTTTTTTCATTCTCTTCCCTCCTCCCTCTTATCAACTTTCTGTCAGAACTTTGAGCACAGGAATAATGTCTGTATCTTTCACTTGGGGAAGCACCTCCTAGATCTCGTGGGCTGGGTGCCACATCCCTGCAAGACAGCAAATACGGCAACAAAACGAGTCACACATTTGTTTTCCCACTTCATAGAGTATGTGTGCCCTATAATGTATCTGTTAAGTGTGCAAAAGCATCCTGTCTAAAAAACAATGTAGATGTCCTCACTTCAAAACCCATTTTGCTAAAGAGTGTTAACTAACCTGTACCTTCATCAAGTCATCTTGTTGCCACAGACCTTTCGTTTGTAAAACAAAAGGCACTATCTACAAATAGCAATAAAGTCAAGCACAACAAAACAGAGCCCCTGGACAGCTGAGAGGACTGAACCTACAGCAATTCCCAACTGGACGTGATTTCCCCCCACTCTCCCACCTCCTGGGGACCTTTGGTGCTGCCTGGAGCTGAGTGGGGCAGCTACTGGCATCTAGTGGGTGGAGGCCAAGCATGGTGCTCAACATCTTCCAAAAAGGAATCATTTGGGCCCAGATGTCAGTGGCCCTGAGGTTGATAAACCCTGATTTAGACAAGTAGTAGAATTAAGAAATTTAGGTAAAGTCACGAAAAGGCTGGGTCTGCAACAACACCAGGAAAACACAAGGCTTCACATTTGTGAAATCTTTCAGGTTTCTAAAGAGCATTCACATCCATTACCTCCTTGAACTTTCCGAACAGTCCTAAGGGCGCCATCTGTTCTGAGCTCCACCCCTTAACTGCGTCCGAGGCAGAGTGTAAGTAGTTCCGTGAAGGGCCAGCACTAGCAAGTGACTAAGCAGAAGTGGCAAGGCTGAGGCGCAGGGAAGGGCCACATGGCAACTGGCCGTCAGAGCCCTCCAGCTGGAGAGGGCTTGGCCCGTGTCCAACAGTGCACATCAGTCAGCTTTTCAAGGAGAGTCAGATGCCCGTACACAAGCTACAGTAGCCCCTGTAGTAGTTCAGCGTGTCCCTGTTGAGGTGCTGGAGGCGCTAGCCCCATTTGAAAACTGTATTTAAAAATAGAAACCACAGAAAGAAATGGAGACATTTCCCAAAGAAAGCATTTGATCTCTGAGCCAGTAGAGGGCGCTCCCATCCAGGCGATCTGAGTTGGCTCAACTGGGATTCAAGAGCACCTGGGGCTGGAGGTGTCCCTTAGACTTGTGCGTGTTAGCTGTAAGGTTCACGCTTCCGGGGGGCTGTCAAAAGGCAAATTCTGAATCTGTAGGTGGGATGCAGGAGTTTCGGAGTTTCCGCATTGCTTACCAGCTCCTAGGAGTAGCCTTCCACTGCTACACTTGGGGTAGCATAACTGAGGGTCCTCTCCCATCCTCAGATGTCAAATCTGATCAGAGAGATCCCACTGCGCAGTGTAAGTCTGCAGAGCCCGGAGAGAGCCCACATCTTCTGTATCCAGTATTCACTTCATGGCATGTGATAAAAAAAAAAAAAATAGCACAGATTTGTTCTTACAATGGGGGAGGTCAGACAGTTTGAAATCCATTTTACTCAGTGGCTGAGCTCAGTGGCTTTAAGCTTTAAGAGACTGGTACCTTCTGGAAGCTCTTGGGGGAGAGCCTTTCCTTGCTACTATTAGTTTCTAGTGTTCCTCTAGTCCCTTCTCCATCTTCAAATAACATTCCTTCAGTCTCTGCACCATCATCACATCACCTTATTTCCTCCTGAATCCCCTCTTCTATTTGTGATGACATTTAGTACCAACCTGGGTAATTCACCCAGATAGTCTCCTCATCTAAGATCTTTAACTTAAAACATGTCTGCAAAGTCCCTTTACCATAGAGGGTAACATTCACAGGCCCTAGGATTAAGTCTAGGCATTGGGGGGCTGTTACTTAGTCTCCCACAGAACCTAAGCATGCTTAGCCCTCCATTCCTTAAAGATTCTAGTTTAGGAGGGGGGCAGTCAGACTGATATGTGTATTTTACAAAATATGTGCATGGTTAATCACCTCTCACCTAGCACAGAGCTTTCTTCATGCTATAGCTATTGTTCATAATAAGCTTGAGGTTTTATCAAGTGCCAAAATTGTGCTACTATTATCTTGGTTTGGGGTGGCTCCAAGCTAACTGGGTACATATACACCAATATATATTGAATATTGAACCTTTACATGCTTCCAAAGTAGGTTTTATTCTCATTTTAGAGATGTCAAAATAGGCCCAGAAATTTTTCCATTTGTTCAAGTTACACAGCAAGAAAGACATAGATCAAGAACCCAACCAAGCTCTTCTAGAGCCCTACACTTTCCCTACCACTGGTGAAGCAGAACAGGGCAGGGAAGAAAAGTACAACTTTTTTTTTTAAAGATTTATTTATTTATGCTTACAGAACTGGGGTACAGGCCAGAGATGTGGTGGGTGAGAGCATTCACCAGAGACAGAGCGGGGAGCAGAACAGGCAGATTGACAAAGTACACTGCTGAGCATAGCAGTGGACAGGCCAAGAGAGGTCTGCTACTCCATGTGAGTCATCTCCCTGGCCGGGGACTGAACTTGTGCGGCAGTGGCTTGGGAGAGCTTCATATTGCAGTGCTTTAACCTGTTGTGCCACCAGGGAGAGCCCAAAAAGTACAACTTTAAAGAGGGTTTTCCTAGGCTCACAAGTCCATTTCCAATCCCTACAACCTCCACTACCAAACTACCTCATTGTTAGAATCCCACATCCCCTTCATCTGCCTCCTGGCATGTGTTAACAATTACAGCCCATCACTATCTGATAATGGAGACTGCAAACACTAGTTTAGATGAGGCGCCGTCTCTGGATCTGAGCTCACACTTATCCCACACAGCCCTTCCCTGATGAGGCTGCCTCCCCCACGTACAGTAAAGCTGTGCACCTTCAGAAGCTGAGAACATGCCTTTCATCAGCTGCTCATTATACTTATTCCAGGCTACCATGGCAACAAGTGTTCACCCCAGCAGCTGCTCCACAGCAGAGTGTTTGGGGTGCAGGGTTCCTCTCAAAGTTCTGCCTTGGTATTTATGGCATACACCCCAGAGCTGAGTCCTGCTCTGGGGCAGTCTCAAGGCCAGGTCACCCTGACCCTGACCTTGACTCTGCACAAGCAGACCAGCCTGTGGACAAAAGGGTTCCGGTTCTGCCATCAAATACAATATCTTGGAGAAGTTGCCTGAGGGCTCATAATGCTGCTTGACAAACTTAGCTCAAAGCAGATTTTAGAGTTCTGGAAATTCTATACCAAATGGGGTCTTGGAGTTATATTCCTTCCAGTGGCTTAGTGGAGACTCCATTCCCTTGCTTTTCTCAGATGTTAAAGGCTGCCTACCTCCGTAAAGTTCCCACATCACTCTGGCTTCTGCTTCTGTTGGAATAGTTTCTGGCTCTGGCTTCCTGCCTGTTTCATAAGGACCCCCCCATGATTGGGCTCACTTGGACATTAAACATCAAGACACATTCAAGCCGCATCCTTGACATCCCTTTAGGGCCAATATAGAAGTGACAGTATTGATAGGTTCTGGATAAGGGTGTGGAAATGTCACAGATGGTCATTTTTCAACTTAACACATGGGGTCAGGAGACTATTTAAGCAGCCAACAATTTTTTTTTGTTTGTTTATTTAAGAAAGTACACAGCAACATGTAGCCACACAGAGAACTCTGAATCCAAGACTATTTATCACTAGTAGAACAATGCCTTATTCCCTTATAAAAAAAACAGTGCTCAAAATGACCTTGATGAAATGATGTGGAATTTTGATGCTTAGTCTAGAAAGAACTTTCACACAATGTGAGTAGAGTTGCTTCCTTCCCCACACCAGGGTTGAGTTCAACCGCATCACTCTAACAAAAGGGTCTAGGACATAAAGGGGATATTGGAAGACAAGGTAGAGAATTCAGTGAGACTGACCATGTCCTAAGATGACCCAGTAGCTGTAATATTCTTTGAAAGTGTTGAAAAATCCAACAGTATGACAACTCACAGTTGAGGGTTGAAAGAAATCTTTAGAATTTACACTTTAATCATTTCTATGTTCAGCTCCTCACCATGTACAGATTCAAAAGCTTTACAACCTGTTTCCTACTAAAATGTTCTAGTTTAGATCTAGTTGAAGGACAGAAGTGAATTTTTATTGGATATCTTGTATGTTAGATCTACAACATGAAATACCAGTTACTATGTAATTACACCCTACCAGAATGATGGGAACCCCTTGGAGGCCATGATCAAGTTTAGGTAATGGAGCTGAGTTAAGTTAGTGTTCAGCTGTGGAGTCTTAGAGAGACTGGGAATTTGTTAATTGTACCTAAGTGTTACCAGTACATCTAAGGAAGCCAGACTCTTACAGTAGTTCTTCTCTCCAAGTAATCTCCAAAGAGATTACTGATTTTCACTGGATTGAGTATAGTGAGACTATGACTAAATCCCTCTGGGAGGAAAACATGTGTTGAGAACTTATTTCAACGAGTAGTTTGAATAGAAGAAAATAATTTAAGTAGGACAGTCCTTGGGACCATTTCTCTGTCTTTCCAGAGAGAAGTTATGCCAGTGATGGGGGGTAGCTCCCTACCCCTTCCCTGTATAGTGAATAGAGGGAGTTCAAATTTGGCACCCCCAGAGGTGGGCTGAACTAAGCCGCAGTAGTGCTTAAATTTCTTGCACTATAAGTCATGGATGTGGGCTCAGAAAAATGCCAGGAAGCAATTAAGGTATGTCCTTATTCACACCCCCACCCCCAGACCAGAGCCTGCCTGAGAGGATGATCCTTAATTACGGCTTTCACCCTAAAGAATGGAAAAAGCAATCTGTACACTCCATCTGACCTTAAAAGATAGAAACAAGACGCTCACTTCAACCACTTTATTTATAAATCTAATTAGTGATTTAACATCACGATTCTTTTCTTGCTCAGGTGATGAATGAAACCCAGTGTTGCCACGATGCCTGCTAACGCAAACACAGGAGCCATGGTTTTAAAAGCAACATATCTATTAGTTCCATGCTCTTTGGTGTCCACAAGGTCTAGGAAGAAATCAGACATTCTTACGATCATATCTAAATTATAAGTATAAATTGAAGGCTCCCCAGGGAAATGAAATTAAGCCTCAGAAAACTCATCCAGGAAGCTTACACCAGGGCATACTTACCCCTTGAGCCACCTCCTCCTCTTTCTGCTTCATTCCCACCACTAGTCCCACTCCCATTTGCCTTTACTAATCAAAATAATAACCAGTGGCTTGACATCTGGAAGGACCTTGGACTTCCAGCCTGTTTAACACAACATTCTGGAGCTAATAGTTACTCAACCTCGGTTTGTGATTTCCTGCAGGTCAGTAGTTACCTTAATTTCAAATTCTAGACCTAAGGATAAGACCAGTAGCTCTCCTGCCTGCCTGTGACTTTGTAAGCACCTCTCTATTTTTCTTAATAAATCTGTCCTTTTAAGATGCAAATAATAATAATAATAATAATTCAAAAAAATAAATGAAGACCCTCTGGCATGGGGAGATGTGATGTTAACAGAATATGACCTGGTACAGACAAGCTTGGCAGTAGCAAGGCACATAAGCCTCTGACCTACTAGTCCTGCTACTATAAACATAGAAGTTTCACGGGTAGTTGGCATTCAAATTTCACATTAGTGACAAAACTAAACGCAACCTGCATGTCCATGAATGAGCTGAGAGAATGGAATCCCATTTAGCTGTTAGCAGTGAGGACAGTTTCAGGTCAGACAAGATGGCTAAGCCAAAATAGAAGCAAAAGAACATATAATCCCACATTTTGGCTTAGCACAATGTGCCTATACATAACTCAGTCTTTTACAATCAAGAACTTGAGTCCAGGAAGAAGTGCAGGCTTTAAATCCATACCTCTTGATGAAGAGTCATCTGACAACAGGAGGATGGGTCCCGGGAGACTTACTAGCATTTTTTCTTCAGTGACCTCTTTGGCTGGAGGTAGATGGAATTTGTGTCCGACTTCTGGAAGCATAGCAGTATAAAAGGTGTTGATGGAATTCTCTGAGCAGATCTCCATGAACATCCTGCTCATCTATGTACTTTTCCCTACCTTGGCAGGAGAGGTCATCTCCCTTACTACACAAACAGGATAAACTCTTAAAGAATAACCAAAGGTTAAGTGGTTAAGTTCTGAATCTACCTAGATTTGGGGAATAGTATTTTTTTAGAATCAGGTCTACAGGAGTTCAAACAACAGTCCATTTGCAAAGATGGACTTGTCCACAGGACTTATAAAGAACCTGTCCGTTGCAATCTTGTAGGTAAGAAATCTGGGATAAGAAGGCTTCATGGTGAAGAACGAGGTACTCAGCTCTAAAGTGTTCAATGTTACAAGAAGCTTGCTTTGAGTAAGACTCTTGGTAACAGGACTTACCTCGTCTGCGCCTAGTTGACCCTGGGCAAGTCACGTAACACAGAGGGGAGTCAGTAGAGAATTGACCACAGACTAAGGCACTGCAGTGGAAATAGACCTGGGGACAGGAGAATAGTTAAGTAGAACCAATGAACTCATGTTCACCTGTCCCAAATAACTTGTTCACTACTTACCATGTTAGAGACCCTTTGGATATGTGATACAAAGGTAAAGGTCTTCACATCAAACCTCTGGTAGTGATTAGGATTGGTCACAGAGGAGCCAACTGGATGGAAGGTGGTTTTGTATTTGCCCAGATTATATACACAGCTAGGAGACACACAGAAAAGTCTAATTCAATATTTGCTCAAATTCAGTCATCTATAATACCTTCAAGAATATTGCTCTACCTTCTACTTCACCTTTGTTCTATTTAAGGTACCTCCTTCTAAGTTGGCCTACTCAATGGCCTAGTCAGGGCACTTGTGAGCTGGTGTTCTTCAAAAGTCTACAGGGATTTTATTCTCTTGACCTGAGCAAAATTTGGTGGATTAACTGACTGCCTTTTCTGTAGAGAATACCTACCCATCCATAATAATATTCCACTGGGGGAGAGAGGCTGGGTCCTTAGTGGGTGATGTCCAACAGTTATCTAAGACCAGCTTCATGTCAGGATCAGTCCTATTTAGGATTTTCACTTCCATGTAAATTGGTTGGTGGGGGTGTTTCACCACAGGGTACTCCTCATCCCCAAAAGGTTGCAGGTAGGACTTATCTGAAATGGAATAGGAGTCTCTTCCATGCCATGGTAGTTGATGGTTGTTAGAGTAGCTTAAGCACTGCTACTCCATCAGTTGGCACCAACAGAAAGTTCATTATAGGGAAGAATTCCTTGAGAATAAGTGGTTGCCCCAGTTAGAATGTCTCACCTGGGTAGGACTTCAGGCTCAAGACAAGTGAACCTAGTTTCATTGAAGCCTTTGGAGGTGGAAGATGCATGGCATTGGTTTTCAAAAGCCTGTTATCCTTACTGTAAGAGCACTTCACTGTCATTCTGTAAGTGTAGGTGAAAGGAAGAGTGGTGGTAGAAAGAGTCTGAGATTAGAAAACTCTGAATTCAATCTGGAGCTTGAAATGTCAAGTTGTCATTGTATCACACCTGAACTCACTGTCTTTGGAAATTCTCCTGGGAGAATTATCTGTCCAGTGAGCACGGATTTCATTTTCATAGATGATCTCATCACCCTGAAACTTGAAAGACACATTAGAGGAAGTGATTAACCAGTTGTCTCAAAGGTAAATCTTAACCTATTGTTATCGGAAGGTGCTTACTTTATATCTTGTTCCACAGCCATGAAGGGGTATGTGAAATCGCACCAGTCCCTGAGGTGGAGATTTGAAGGTTGGTCGGCAGGATGAGTTTCCCACTCTAAGAGTATTCAAGTTGAGAGTGTGTTTGGCTTGGGAGTTATTGACCTCAACATCCATAAACCCATCCAGAGTACACAGCTTGCCTGTAACTAGATAATGGTGAAAGTTTAGAGCTCTACCCACCATGTGAGAATATCATCTACTAACCTGGAAGTATGATGGAGAAAGTTTAGACTTTTCAGCAGGAGGCACCTAATTTTGTCTTAAGTCTTTGGGAAGATTCTTTGGCAGTTTGAATCATGGGGGGAGACTGTCAGTACCTAGAATACCTAGAACAGCTATTGTGCTCTGTTTGAATAGAAGGACTTTATAGCCAAAGGAAGAGGGATCAGGAGACATGGGAAGAAACCATGTGGGACAAGAGGCCAGGAGAGGCCCTCAAAAGGCCTAGCATGAGATAAGGGTCAAAGTTAAGTACTACAGCTTAATGTGAAGAGAGGCTTGTGTCTTTATATCCCTTCTTTTAAGGTTCACAAATCCAGAGTGGTTTGGGGAGGGAGGAAGTCAAGGCAGGAACTTTTCCTATTTGGCCTGAGCCACACGGATTGAAGAGTGACAAAGAGAGGGAAGAGGCAACCATGAATAACAAGAAATGCCCACTCCATATTCCTGCAGCAACATTGCCACTGTTTGGAGAAGGCTTTTCAAAATTTCATGGTCCTCATTAGGAATTTGAAAAAAATCTTACTTAAATGGTAGGTTCAGGCCACCAATAAATATGTTCAAGGAACTTACCCATGAGATCATTATAGGGAGATCTAGCTACATTCTTCCTACTGGTTCTGTCATAGACCCAGTAGAAATAAACCAAGAGTCTAACCAGTAGAACTAAACCAAGTGAACTATTCACTTTCTAATGCACAAGAAGGGCTAAGATAGAAATAAAGGATGTAGGAAAGTTTTTAGGAAAGTCTTTACCTATAGAAATTGATGACTCACAGTCACACTCAGGATATATCACCATGGCTGCTGGTGCCAATGTAAAGGAGAAGATCAGCTTAAGTGAGGGCAGGTAAAACTGGTGGGACAGGCATTTTTCAGGGAACTGAAATTGGAAGAAAATTGTCAGTAAGCACAAACCAGACATGAGGCTACTCTGGGTGTACCTGGCATTGCAGTTAAGATGAGCCTAATTGGGACCCTTTCATTTGGATCAAGTTGTTCCGCTTTTAAAACGACAACTTGAAACAACTTGAAAGCTGTTTGCATAACTGCTGAGAAGAGCTTTGGAAAAATTTTAATGCAGAGGTTAAAGAGGTGTGATGTTTGAAGGCAAATTTCAATTACTTGAGAGTTTTTATAAAATGATCAAGAGAGGCCTTCCCAAATTTTGAGTCTTGTATATCGACAATTAGAATTTAGAATTCAGTTCTGTCAGGATCACCCAAAAGAACATGCTTCAAGCCAGGCTTCCAGAGGGCTAAGTTGATCATGGAACATACTTTGGTTTTGAGAAGAGTTTTCCTGAAATGCAACCTCAAGCCATTGTTTTCTTCTACATCAATCCCATTTTCATGCAACTGGCTCATGGAAAAGATTTCATTGTAAAAGCTCAAGGCTTTTAACTTCCCAGGAAACTCTGGTATGGTGAGAGTCATGTGAGTGGAATTACAGGTCACAGGATCTAGAAGGAATAACAAACAGTATGCCCATCATCTTCTCCTGATTCAGCCCTCAGAACCATGTCCCCAGCTGCTGAAGCTGCCACTGCCAAGGAACTTACCTACCACACAAATCATGTTTGAGGTGAAAGTCGTCGTCTGCCCATGATATTTATGACTAAGCTTCAGAGGCATCATGTAGAGATGACTGTGGTCTTGCTGTTGGGGGAAGAAGTTTTAAAGACATTTGCTTACTTGAATCTCTAACAACACTTAAAGTAGTTCAGGGCAAGCACATACTCAAGTATTGGACATTGTTTTGATCCAAACAGAATTTGAGGCCTTTTGCCTACTGATGACATGTTGTTAACATCCGGCAAGCTGGTGTTATCAGTGTTATCACCTATAGCCCTCTCCTTTCTAGGTAGATGTGGTTACAAGCTATTCTTCATGGAGAGTGAAGGTCAAGACTTAGTAGTTTGTGTATACTCAAAGTGTTAACAGAACAGTTCCTGCTGAAACGATTGACACTTGAGCACTTTGAACAGCAATAGTCCCCAAAGTACTTTTGGTGTATGAACTCATAGAATGTAGTGTCTTGATAGGATCGTAATTGTTAGCCCCATGCCTTCCGCACATCACAACAAAACACCTTAATTCCTAAGTTTCTTAGCAGTAGCCCAGCTTTCTTTTACATCATAGATTCAGGTCTGTGGGGCCAAGGAAGAACACATTGAAGTAAGAACCATGATCTATTTCGTTCACTATTTTAGTCATCAGTCCAGTGCATGGCATACACTGGGCATGGAGGTATCTGTTGAATGGATTGCATTCTCAATCTGAACACATGCTTGGGATTATGTCTGGATTTAGAATCGTGATCTTGTTGGAATAACATATGTCATGAATGAACTCTACCCACTGTTTTATGGACTCCACCCCTACCACCATGCCAAAGATACCCCAGGCCCAGAGGACTACAAATCCATGATTCTATGGATCTGTCATGATTCTTGATTTCTTGAGAGAAGGATTGTTGGGAACTAAGAGTGGAGTGAAGCAGCTTTACTTGGTATAAAACCAAAGTCATGGAGGCCTGGATGGGCTCTTGGTTTGCCTGCCTTTAGCATGCACCTCGGGTCCCAGCTAAGACAGTGTTACCAGTAGGAATGACCAATTAACAACGCTCTCTCTTCCTCCCTCTCTCTCGGTGCATACACATGTTTCCTCTCCCTCTGTGCCCCCCCCTTTTTATTTCCTTTGTAAATAAACCTCTTATCAACCTTTCTCTGCTTGCCTGCCCTTGGATCTTGTTTTGAGTTTTTTATTTAAGCCCCTGGGTGAAGACTCACACCCAGGCCACCCCGTTTCCCTTTGGGGTTGTCTAGTAACTGTCTGTGCTAAAGGAGAGAAGACTTCACACTTACCGTATACTCCTTTAGCCCTGTGGCATTGAATGATGATTGGATTATCAACTTGTCCGTATCAAACAGAATATTATATCCTTGCGTCATGGCCTCTGAAATGGTCATACTTAAGTTGGGACTAAGGTACATGGTCCAGCCCCGCTGAGCCAGGAGTCCCTAAAATCAAGAGTTTCATGTAGAGGGATGGTGCTCACCTTGACCTCAAGGCCATTGTCTGTTTAAAAATGAATAAGGCTTGACAATATGTCTCCTTTAATACAGAATTAAAGGTTGCTTAGCTCTGTAACTTTAAAATATAATTCTCAGGGCCCTCCCTGGTGGCATAACAGGTTAGGGTATAGCACCGCAAGCTGGCCATGGCCACTTCAGTGCAAGTTCAATCCCTGCCCCGCAAGTGACCCACAGGACACTGCAGACCTCTCCTGACCTGCCTGCTGCTCCCCTCATCAGTGTACTTCATCCATCTGCCTGTTCTGTTCCCACTGTCTCTGCTGAATCCTCTCACCACCCCTGCACCACCCCTGCGCAAGGCAAAACCACAAAGTGCTTTATGCATAAGTAATAAATAAGTCTTTAAATAATAATAATAATTCTCATACCGGAGTTTCATCAGCCACGTTAGGAAAAACTTTCAGGGAAAACTGGAAGAAAAGTGAAATCAGTATGTAAGATTTTGATTAGCAGGAGAAATTTTCTGATATTCTAGAAGACATAGTTCTTACACCAAGAGGCCTGTCTGTGGGGTAGTAGGAAAGACAGAGGACATGATATGTCCTCAGACATCAATTCACCTCTTTGAGATTCTGATAAACAAATAGCAATTGGAAGATTTAAGCTGTTTTCCAGTTTTCAGTTGAAACACTAGTTCTGTATACAGCTTTTTGTTATAGTCACAGAAATCAAGCATTGGGTAACTGGGAAGCTCCTCATCAGGTAATAAAGTGAATACTTTTAGTGTTCAGTTATAGATACAAGCCGCATTAAGACTATAAACTCCACCAGGAACTGATTGCCTCCAGAGCTCATTTACCGTGTCCTAGCTCCTGGCATAGAGCCTAGCACATGATATGTATTCAGTTTGTCAAGAGATCACTAATGTGACTACAGCTACCAATAAATCCTTTCCATTGTCAGGCTTGATGTGCTAAGCATTGTGGAGATCCCAGGTCAATTTGGGGGCCACCTCTGAGATGTTACCATCCCCCATTTCAGGCTTGGCAGAAAGGCCCAACATGGCTAACCAACATGGTTAAGAAATCAGTCCAAAACCAGAAGGCAAATAAGCAGTGAAGACAGGATTGAAATCCTCAGTCTGGTAGGGCCTTGCTCCCCCATGTCACCTCTGCAGTGACCATATGAGAAGCAGCAGGCTCGCTGCACTCACAGACATGTGGTCCTTCGTGCAGTTTGTAGCTCCTGCAGGATCCTTGGTTTCTGCTCCTTGTATGTCCGGGCAGGTGAAATGATAAATGATACCCTCTTTTAAAGTAGTATTACTTTCAGCGAATCTGAGGATCATATGGTGCTGGGAATGCTGTATGCAAAAGACATAAGGAGAGCAGTTAAGGGCAGGTACCACAGTGGGAAAGGTGATTCCAGAATACCTCTGACCCAGTCAAGTTTGAAGTTACTAGCACCATAGGTTTTAGAAATTTCATCCTTTCTACACCAGCAAACACTCTAGTTAGACTTTTCAGATACCCCAGGAAAGATTCATATGTTGGCAAAAAAAAGTTACCTTGAACTTCAGGGATTGGAGTTCAGTTTTTATCTTGCATCATTTTACATCTTGCCTCTATCTGAGTGTTATGGTCCTGAGTGGCTTGGGGCCTCAATCCAAGTCATTCAAAAGACCGTTGGACACCTGTGTATCAGCCATCGTGCTGGGTAATAGGCAGAGCCATTTCCTATTTCCTGTCACTTACGGGGCTCATAGCCTAAAGTAGGGGAGGTCAGCCAACGTTTTCTGTTATGTAGTAGGAGATGCTTTAGATTTGTGTGGGCCATATGTAGTTTGTAGTAGGTATTACTGAATGCTTTTTTTTTTTTTTAAAGATTTATTTATTTGTGCATACAGAACTGGGGTACTGACCAGAGGCTCAGGGGCGGTGAGAGGATTCACCAGAGACAGAGTGGGGAGCAGAACAGGCAGATCGACGAAGTACACTGCTGAGGGGAGCAGCGGGCGGGTCAGGAGAGGTCTGCCACGCCATGTGGTCACCTCCGGGGCAGGCGGGAATCGAACTCATGCGGAAGCGGCTCTAGATTCTCAGTGCTGTGCTTTAACCCGCTGCGCCACCAGGAAGGGCCCATTACTGAATGCTTTTTAAGAAGACAAACCATTCTTAGCTCAACCACCATGGATGTCAGGCACACATCCCATGGGCTGCACTGGCCCACCCACAGGTTGTGGATTGCAGAGCCCTGATTTAAAGGAATGCAATGCTAAGCTCCCTAAAGCTGGGAAGGGTTATCTCAACTTATCTCAACAAGGCAAATTTACTGGAGTTCTTCACTAAAAGCACATGCTTACTTCATAGGGCAATCACAGAGGAAGGACCTCAGTAAACCAGAGGTCCAAGTTGAGGGTCAAGGGCAAAATTACTGGAGTTCTTCACTAAAAGCACATGCTTACTTCATAGGGCAATCACAGAGGAAGGACCTCAGTAAACCAGAGGTCCAAGTTGAGGGTCAAGGGCACCAAGTTCAGACAGTAAGCACTTTGCTCTATAATCAGATTAAGTGTGCTGTCAAAGATGCATGCATGCCTCTGGGAAACACCCATGACCACGTCACCAACTCAACGAGTTTCCCAAGTGGATCTCTGAGCACTATTGCTTAAGGAATTCTACTTGCTTTTATGGCACCTAATAATCTGACTGGGCGTGACTGTTGCTTGGCAATAGAGAAAACTCAATTTCTCAGCTGCTGCTTGCCTCCCAACACCTGTTTTTACTGCATGAAAGTTCTCTACTTGTCAGGATTAAAATATCCTCCCATATCATAGAGAAGTTACAGATCAAACAGCTCATGTTTGAACATTTGTTGTGTCTAGGTGCTGTGTTAAGGCCTTCAGCCCCATTGTATCTTTCATCTGTATGTCTGCTAGAGAGGATGGCATAATCCCCAATTTTCCAATGAGCAAACAGAAGCTTTGAAAGCTTAGCTGACTTGCCCAAGATCACATAGTGGTAGGTCCAGTACAAACTCTCAACTCTAGAGTTTCTCAACCTCAGTATTGGCATTTCTGTCCTGATAATTTTGTGGGGTTGAGGGGCTCTGTCCAATTAGACAATGTTGTAGGATGCCTGACTTACAGCCAGCAGATGCAAATGTCCCTGGGCAGACAATTCACTCCTAGTTAAGAAGCACTGCTCTCTTCCAATGCCTATTCCTTAACTACTAGGTTACTAGTAACGACTGGGTTACTATTTCCAAAATCATTCCTTAAAGCAATTACTTACCTCTGTCTTTGTACAAGTCTCATAGGGAGCTATCAGAGTAGATCTTTTTACGTTCAGGACATATGTGCAGATCGACATTTCATTACCAGAGGGATCTACAGAAGCCAGAGCAGTTTAGACAGGACGTGGCCTAGAAGTACATTCCAGTTACAGATCTCATCCAAAGTCCAACACACATCCAACCAACACTGCCAAGCCATTCTAAGGTCCTTCGATCACTTTCCGTTTATCAACCCAACTAGATTATATGACTCAAGCTTTGAAAGAAACTGATTGACAGCTGTTTCCCAGGGGTTCCAAGACAAGGCAGGTCTAAGAAAGGACAAGGTCTTCCACTCTTGTTGGCATCATGCAGACTGGGGTCGCACCCCCTCTCCCCCCACCATGCCATCATGACACGATTTATATGCCAGTTGCTCCAGAGTTTGTATATTCTGCTCACCAGGAACAAAAGGGCCTGGACTGGAGCTGAGGGCTCTTTGCTAAATAAAACTAAGCAGAGATAATACCCACCCAACACAGATGTATCCCATTTCATGAAGTCAAAACTGTCTGGAAACTCCACTATCATTCTATCTTCGTGGCAATGGACAATACCTGCAAAGCAAAGGCATCCCATGGGACCTGAGTTATGAAGGCAGGATCCACACAGGTACACACAGTGAATGCTTCCCCTGTGGGTATCAGGAAGATTGCCAGTTGGAAGAGGCAAAGCTTGTTACCCCCCATCGGGGAGCCCAGACGTGGGTGGGAAAAACAATGTCCCTGCGAGACACCCAAGAACTGCCAGGGATGTAGCCAGTGCATAGGGCTTTCTGAAGCATACTAGAGATAAGCCTGGGTCAATTAACAAGCATGCACACAGACACCAGGCAGGAACCTGGACAGTCAAGTGGACCGGGTGGGGATGGTAGGTCTAAAAAGTTTGTTTAAAATAATTTCAATTTGCATTTTTATAAATATCACAGGTAAGCCTAAAAATCACTTTTTTTTTTTAAGGTTCTGCCTGTAATCTTCCACCTTGTACCCTCAGGATCAGGTGACAGATTTGAAAAGCTCCTTGTTTTAAGAGAGCAGCTATGATTTTGTCCACAACATTGATAGTTTCATCACTTCTTGGCCTTTTGCCTAAGATTATGTGTATGCAGGTTGTTTCTCAAGCCTGAGTTTGTGTTGGAGGTCAGCTGCTCTAGGGTGGGGGCTTCATGATGTGGTTTGCTGTTCAATGCCATGAAGCTTGAGGGTGTACAGAATGAAAAGTAGTTGAAGTGTTACTGCAATCTCTTTCATGTCGCTAGTACAGCAAGTCATAGGTAAGCAATGGAAAGGTCGAGTGACCTGGTCACAGTAAGAAAGGGTGTGGGTAGAAGATTATTTTACGCATGTCTGTGTTTTTCCTGGTTCTCTAGGCACCCTAACTACAACCTGATATCTCTGTTAAGGGCATGTTCCTTATACCCAGAAACATACCTGAGAAGTCATATTGCTCCAGCGGAAGAGGGCTTATTGTGTTCACTGAAGTTACAAGGATGAAGAAGAAAAACAGCGACCTGTAGGTGTGTGGAAGGGGGTGGAGGAAAGCAGTAAGGAGGCATAAACTTAAGCAGACAAGGCCATCTGTCCCCTCCCTCTGCTTTCAGAATTATTCACCTCCAGTCTGCATCCAACCAGCTCGAGGCAGTCTTCCACGTCATGGTCAAAGGCACCACCCACCCAACCAGCTACAGGGCTGGGCTGCTCTGCGCTTTCAGAGCAGAAGCAGGACAGGGCCCTGCCTGCGCCAGCTCAACGACAGCTGAATCTTCTCCAGTCCGTCCACCTGAGAGGCAAGGATTTGGAAGTGGAGAGGCTTCCTGGAATACCTGAAAGAAGCAGAGTCTGCCTTTCCTGCCCCTTGTGTTGGGTTTCCTGCCAGCTGCTCTGAGAGCCGCCATGAAACCACTCCCTGAAACTGGCTCCTAGGGAATGGATTGGTGTGGGATGACTAACATCAGCAAAATTTAGGGTCTTTTATACACCATATTTCCAACTCCAATGTAGAGAGAAAGAGGGGGAGCTATTGGAGAAAGGATGTCTTATTCACTCACTAAACCTTTCCTACAACTCTTAGTCTCCTGGATCTTGTGGGGTCACCCAGGCATGTGCAGAAAGTACTTTTACAAAAGTAAAACCTAGCACTATGAAGCTATCCGCAGACACTGCAGCATGAGTTCAATCCCCAGGCTGGGGGCTGACCCACATGGCGCGGCAGACCTCTCCTGTCTCCCGCTGCTCCCCTCGGCAGTGTACTTTATCAGTCGGCCTATTCTGCTCCCCACTCTGTCTCTGGTGAATCCTCTCACCCCTGCACCTCTGGCCTACACCCCAACTCTTGTATGCAGACATAAATAAATCTTTTTTAAAAAAGATTATGATGAGAAGAGCTTGGAGGAAGGAATATGGAGCCAGACTCAGAGAACTGTTAAGAAGGTGGTCAGACAGGTAATAGGTATTGTTCTCACCCCCAGCCTTGCTCCCCTCCCCCCCCATAAGATTGTGCCTGTTCCCCAGAGCATGAGTTCTGGAGGCTAAGGGGCTGCAGGAAGATCCTGAATAGGAGGGGTGGGGAGAGAAGGGCAGGGGCGGGTGGTGAGTGCATTGGGGTTTAATTTCCTTTGTTTTTCCTGGCTCAGGCAATGCTGTGCTTGAGACAGTCAAGAGCCACTAGCTCCAGGACCCTAGGAGTCAACCCAGGATCAACACACAAGGATGCATGTGGTCCATGCAGTCAGTTTTGAAAATGAAGAAGTGGCTGCTTCCTACTAAGCTCATGTCTCATTACACTCGTTAGGAAAAGCCAAGCTCTGTTCTTAATATTTTACTAAGTACAACCATGTATCTCTTTCAAATGTATGTTTTCCATGACAATTTTTAAGTTTGCTAATTTATGACTCCAAGGTGGTCTTCCCACTCTTGTCTCAATGTTTTGGGTGTTAATACCTGATCTCTCACCTGTTAGCCAGGAGGCATTTAGGTGACCTCCCTTCTGCAATGCCATTCTTATAGGTAGCAGCTTATAATTCTTAAATTTCAAGTCTGATGTCTTATTTCTCATGATTGAGAAATAATAAGTATTGAAGACAACCATCAGGAGATTGTTAAACTGTGGAAAGTTTTTCAGCTACTAAAATGAATCTGTAGATTCCATTGTATCTTGATACTAAATATTGATTTACATTTAATGTAAATGTTGATATTAAAGATGGTCACAATAAAATCATAATTTTCAAACTGTGTAATTGGTATGTTTTGATATTTTACTGAAAAAAAAAAGAAAGCCAAACTCTATGTGCATGTCTATACATTTATTTACCTTATATGTGGGTATAGAAATGTACTTTTTATTAAAAATCTAGAAGGCAGAGCCAGAAAGGGATGTCAAGAGATGGTACAGGTATTCGAGCTGTCTACCTCAAGTGGCTATGCAAGGCATTCCAACTGTTTGTGTTCCTGCATACTGATTATCAGTATATACTGAACACATCATCCTAGAGGATAGTAACAGGGACATAGGGAGATGAAAAATTCTTACTTTTTTGATATCTTGATTCAATTGTTATAGTGGGAAAAAATGACCAATCCAAATAATGATAGCAGTAACTCAGGAGTAACAGTAAATCTTACTTGTGTATCAGCAATCTCTAGATACTTTAGAATCAAAGGCCAGTATGTTTAAACTTCACGGTATAAAAGTATAATGCTCAAGCAAATGGATTTGTTGCACAAGGGTTCCAACATCCAACTGCCTATTATAAAGTGTGAAGAAATGAAGCCTACAGTTTTCCACACGAGCCCAAGGTCACACAGCTGGGTAGGAGCAGAGAAATTATGCCTCCAATGGCCCACTCCCAGGCACTTTGTAATTTGTTATAGTTTTCTTCCCTTCCCTTAAATGAACTGCTTCTCTTGCAGTTCATTTAATTTTATAAGTACAAGATGACATTAATTAGAATTTAGCAGTATAAGATAAGTAAGAAATGGACCGATCAGTTATGCTAGTATAGTTTATAATAGTTTTCAAATATCAAATATTAATTGATTTGGAAAACAATATAGACTGTCCAAAAGAATGCGCTTCAGTGTCACACGATAGTGTGACATCCCTTTAGCAGTGGAACTATTCAGTGTTAATGTTCTTTTGCCCTTTAACTCTTTAGAGGGATCCAGCTTGAAATGAGCCTCTTGACAGTAATAGATTCAGAGCTCAGGCAAAAATGCTTAAAAAGCATAAAGTCTCATTGGCCTATGAATGTAAAGACAGGGAAGCTGACATAGATGAATAACAAAAGAGGTTAGGAAGTTCTAAGCCAAGAAACCTCATTTATATACCAATACTAACAGATAACTCCATGGAGTAATTAGGGAGCAGGCAGGTCAAAAAGTCAGAGACATCCCACCCCCCAAACCAGCACACCTTCTCTGCATAAGTTCCAAATGTTCTTTGTGTTCCAGGAACTTGCTATTCATGTAGCCATCCAGACTGGAGTCAGCCCGCCCCAGCCCCAGCACAAGTCCCTGTGACCCAACCTTCGCCATCACACCAAAACCCCTGTCTCGGGAGTCCCACAGTCCCCTGTTTTGAACATGACCAGGCACGAGGGAACCAGTGCTCAGCTGCCCCTGACCATGCACTGAGAGCCACCCTTCCCCACTCCACCACCCCACTTTGTTGTCAAAGGGGAACCTTACTCCTGCTTGGTGAGGCACTGCTTGGTGGACCTATCCCCATTGCTCACCTCACTTGACTCAAGTAAATAAATCTGCTTACTAAAAAGCTAGTGGTCTTGAGTACTTTGACTTGCCAAGTGACCTGACCCCCTTTCGGTCACAATAGCTGGTAGCTAGGGCAATGGTTACCGCAGAAATAGAGAAAAAGGTTTCCTTGGCAATGCAGCATCTTCCCTTTAGTTGATAGGATATAAACTCTGTTGGGTGGTAAAGTTCTGAAGGATGTGCTAGATGGGTTGAAAGACTCCATCTCCCATTCCCAGCTCCCCCACGCCCACCCCAGTGCTCCCTTCCATCGCAATGCACTCTGC